CCTAGCATTTACTAGATATGTGTTAGTCTTGTATAGATATAAGCCGGTCACAACGTGACGGGACAACAGTGTATTGAGTAATTGAATGTATGCGGATAAAATATTGTTGGCCACGTGAGACGTGAGCGTTTGTTATAGAGCGACTGTTGAAATTAAGTGTATCGTAAAGTTGTATTTAGAAAGAATAAACCAGTTTTATTTAAGAAAGGACTTGTGTCGCTAAAGTTTTGTCGGAACGAATTTACGGAAAATTAACTAACGAACGGAGGTGTAACAATATGAATCACAAATAAATGACCAAACCTAAGAGTACTATATACAATGTAGTATGTATACCACACTAGTAATGAGTGGAATGAAAACAAGTCTGTAATTTAAGGGTTAAAACATGCATTCACATGCCTTCTTAAAAAGTGATGGTAGAAATTTTACAATAGTCAGTGTTTAAAGAAACAGGTAAACATACACACAAGAGTAACAGGTTTTTAAAATTGTCTAGAATTTCAGTATTATATGCTTAAACATAAAATATTTTTATTAACATTTCAGTTTCCAACTCTTGAAATGTTTTTGGAAACCACTCGGAGAAAAATTCTATGTGTTTTAGCTGACCTTGATGCAGTGGCTCAACATAGTACTCCTCAATCTCTTGTAATTGATAAATATAAACACAAACAGGTAAGCTCCTCCTTGTACTACAACATTTATTTAACTTGTGAAAGTGATTTAAGAAACTACTAGCATATTCAAATCAAACCAATGATGTTTTCTGTTATTAATAAAGCTCGTAATCAATATGTACTTGAATTTGTTTGTTGTATATGTGTGTTCATAATGTTACACATTATTTTGCTACTTATTGTAACATACTAATATTTTCTCAAATATTTCTCCATAATTTGCCATAACATAACTAAACTTTTTCAGAATATTTCAACTTATTTACAGTAATATTGCTAAAAATTTCTCGCATTCACTGTAATGTAGCTAAAGTTTTTTTCTAAATACTTGTACTTCGTTTACCACAATGCAATTAAGACTTTCTTAATATTTGTATTTTAATGGAATTACTAAAAAGTTTTTAATTATATTTGTACTTAACCTTTAGTTGTTTCATAGTAAATTAGTTACAAATATTTGGGAAACCTTAGTTACATTATAGTGAATTAAGTATAATTAATTAGGAAATTCTTAATTATAATATAAAGAATTAAACAGAAATTTATAGAAAATATTTGCTTGTGTAGTACATTAAATAAATAAATAAAGTCTTAGTAATGTAACTACATTAAATACGAATATAATCAAAAAAGGGTTAGTAACGTTGCAATACATTAAGTACAAATATTAAGAAAGTCTTAGTAATTTGACAGTAAGTTTCTTAAATATCTTTACTTTGTTCACAGTTATGTGAATAAAAATTTCTTAATTATTGGTATTTATTCCATTCTGAGTTATCAAATGCCTACAATAATAAGTTTTGACGGATCTTCTATGTCACAATTCCTTGATATGTGGCTATCTACTTTTCAGTTGAAATAACGAAATTACAATGTTATACATAGGATCACAAAATCTCTATAAAAAAACCAATTTTATGTTAAAAATGTTTTTAATAGAACCAGACCTTTTTGTTTTGTTTTTACTGGGAGTTTTCTCTGAACATTGATGTTATAAAATTTGAACTATACAGAAATTTTCGAAAATGAGTAGCAGCAAAAAGAAATAATAACTTAGAACTTGATTTCATGTTCATAAAACTTTTTAATTCTATGGATAAAAATAGTGTGATCTGTGTGGTTAGGATGCAACAACCATTCTGAAAGTCCCAGAATGGATAAGAGTGGAACAAACAAGTTCATCCAGTAGTTGGTCATCTAATAATAGTACATCTGAGTTTTATCGTGGTCTAGCTGATGGTGTATCTGACACACACGAACAGATGGAAGGTTGGTGTGCAATTCTTTTGGACATTTCTTGAGGATATAAGCTAGGTTTTGGATGGTGTTAATGCAGTGAAATTTGAATAGTGCTATGTGTTACTTTCTTTCTCATGAAGATTAAATTTCAATGATGGGAAAAAAATCTCATCAACAAGAACTCGTAATAGTGGTTACGTAAGTGTATACATAAATTCTCACTTAGCAAGATTAAGATATTGGAGAGAAAAAATGTAAAGTTGAGTGAGTCCTTGAAAACTTGAAGTAGACAACTTCTTTTGGGATGATTAATGCTAGGAATAGTTAACAGAAAAGTGTGTAAACAACTGAACAAATTCAGCATCTGTGAAGGGGGGGTCTCTTAGAAACAAATTATATTTTTTATCATGTTTACTATTTAATTTTTATCTTCAAATCATATAATTAACAATATATACATCTATTTATCAATTGATAAACTTTTGCCTTGTTTACCTATAAGTCGTTAAAAATTCAATTTCCCTATATCATGCTGCTGCTTCAATTTTCAAAATTTTTCGAATCATGTTTATTTTTTAAATTTGTTTAATTTAGATTATTATCTCTGAAAAGTAGTGCTGATGATGAGATTATCTAAATGCTGGTTCAATGCAATCTAATCATTATAGGTTATAATATATGGGTTTATGACGTTAAGTAGTTCTTGTCAGTTTATTGTATAACATTGTCTTAATATTTTATATTTGATTTTTAATGTTTTTAAATCTGATCTAAACAGCTCACTTTTAATCAGAAATTCGTAGTTGTGTAATTAAAAATAAATTAGTTTCTATTATCATATTTACATGTTTTTTTAGAAGTGATATGATATCTAGTTAAATATTTTATCAATAGTGTGAAATATTAAATTTATTTGAAACATAATGCATGATAATCTGATGTAACTCTGTACTAGGTAAACAAATAATGTATCTCAGTTATATAATTTAATCTTTAGTAGGAACTTCGTTTTATAAATATGATTTTGTATTTATAGTTAGAACAACATTATAAGTTGAACTAATTGCCAAAACATGTTAAAAACCACTGCATAGAACAAGTAACATGTATAAAACTTTGTTGAGGATAAATACAAAAGTTGCATATCCTAAAACAATTGACTTTTTTTTTACATAATTTCAGATTCTTCATCAGTGTTCAGTTCAAATGAACCCCTATCTGATGAATTATGCCAATCTCATTCTGAAACTGTCCAACACTGCCAAGCTATATACACATACCTCGCAAATCTAAGTGATGAATTGACAATACATCCAGGTTAGAGATGTTTTTTGCTTGAGAATTAAAAACTGAAACCAGGCAGTAGTCAAACCCACAACTGTGATTATAAGGCAGTTTTTTTCACTAAGTTACAAGACTTCTAAGCTATGTCATTCAGCCTGCAACTCACAGAATCCACTTATTGCTGTTTTTGTTGTAATGTATAATTTAAGATTTCTACTTGTAGAAATTTTACAGTGGCCATCTTAAACTTTCTACACCTGGAGAGATTGTGCGTGAATGCCTTAAGTGCTTAAATTAAGAGAATATTGAATAAAAATTGATAAAAGTAAATCATTGTTTCATGTATGTTTAGACTTTACAGAAATTACAGAACAATATATTTGTTTTTAGACTTCAAAAACAACAAATTGAATGATTTAGGCATGAACTGTTGTTTGAGCTGAACTTGATATTAACAATCAAATAGGTCATATAATGTCTCACTTTAAAAATAAACGCATAACGGCACAAACTATTGCCTGTAAAGACTAAATTTTTGTTTGGAGAACATATAGGCTTTATAAATAATTTACACCAATAAATACAGGAAGAATAGTCAACTATTCGAAAGTGCTTGAGTTTTGGGTCTTTTTTTGAAATTCATTACACTATTTTGTGTGACCCTATATTCTAACTTTTATCAGAATAAATAATACAAGGAATAACAATCCTCACTGTGTATGTTCAGTGTCTTGTTTTATTGTCTCTCCATTTTTAACTTACATTATTTTCAGAGGTTTAATATAAATCCTCAACAATAGGGCAAAGTTGCTTTTTTTTAACAGTTTTCAGAAAATTTTAGAATTACTGCATGATTAGTTTATACTCATAACTTAAAATCATATGAGACTTATCTTACAGAGAAAAATCTTCTGTTTTAATGGTATTTCAACTTGCCAACCTTATATTATTTACAAACCATTGTTTTCAACAGACTAAAAAAAATATGAAATATTAGAACTTTCTGTTATTAAAAGCATCAAGTTGAATGATTAAGTCTGCCAGAAAAAACAAACAGTTTATTGTGTATTTCTGTTCTTACCCCACAGGTGATGTAATATCTGTAAAATGGAAGAATGATGATGGTTGGTGGGAAGGTGAACTTAATGGTAGTGTTGGACTGTTTCCTTCTACATACGTTCAAGAAATTTAATTTCCTATAGTTGCTGTCATATAAAGTGTTAACGATCAATATCAGTTTAATTTTGTATGCTGAAAAGCCTTTACACTAGCTTGTTACAAAATAAGATGCAATAGCAATATGCATTTCGCAGTTCAAAAGTTACTTTTGTTTTAGGTATATAAAGTTTAACTATATAATAATCTTATATATATATATACATGTAACAAATACAGATGTTTCTGTATTTATACAAACTTCTTCTCTGGTTCGTTAAATAACTAAAACTGTTTAAGTTACCTTAGATAAGAATTACAAGTTAATATGTTTGAGTACCATATGTATACAAACACACATCAAACTTGAAGAGTTAGATCATTGAAATAGATTTTTTTTCTCTAATTTTTATATAATGAAAACAAAAAAAATGAGCTTGTTTACTTTGTTCATCTTATTTTTGTTCATGTTTCAAAGAATCTAGATTTTGAAAATGTTTTCAAAGCCTAATAAAAGTTTCTAATGTAAATATGTTTCTTAGCTGTGTTTTTGTTTTTGTAGCTCACAATGTAACATTGTAATTGATGTTCCCCATGTTTGACTTTTTTTAATGAGTGCAAACAGATTGGTCTATAATTAGGCTACAGATATCAAAGGTTTAGCTGCTTACTGATAAATACTTATTTGATTACTTTTCTTACTAAGTTATGATACTTTTGTTTTGTCCTCACCTATGGCCTCTTTAACAGACTACATAAAATCTATGTTTTATGGAGTTCTTGCAAATTCCAGTATAATGTAGGCAACAGTTTAGATAGCAAATCTGTGTAGCTCTGAAGAAACTAGGGTGAGAAGAAACAAAACAAAATTTGTGAGACATATTTTCTATACAAACCACAGGGTTTAGAATAATCTAACTGAGTCAGTGGTATTGTGTGTGTTAAGGAAATTTTGGACATAGACAAAGCACATTTACAATATAACAGGTTTTAGTAATCTTTTTTATTTTTGGGTGCAATATTAATGCGAGAACAAGAGAAGGGAGGGATAGACAGTTAAACCCAAAGAATGGAACACAATACCTATTCTTTATTTAAATCCTCAGCAGGCTTAAGTTTCACAGGGTTCAGCAACTGAACATAGATTAAGTCTTTAAATTAAATCAACTGTTTGAAACAAAATTCAATTGCACTAAACTGAATGTGAATTATTAAGAAAAAAAAAATGAAATTCGTGTTGGTGACAAATTGTTTCATAAGAGATAAAGAAATACTTTAATTGGTAATGTTTCAAGCTACCACCCTACTGACCTGAACATTGTTCTTTAGGTTTGACAAAGGGCGTTTGCTCAAAACTTTACAGTCTGGCTACCTGCTTGTCAAACTCAGAAAATACTGAACATTGTGAACAAATGCCACAGACAGGAATTAAGTCAATTTTGACTGGACTATGCTTTAGAGATTAATCCGAAATGCTAAGTTTCACAATTATCTGATGATATCCTGTTCCCACATCATGTTCAGGAACCCAAAGTTTGATTTTTATATATATATATATATATATATTACTGAATTTATTAGTTATAGAAGATTAAAGTAATAATGACAATTTAAAATCATAATGAATGTATTGTACAGGAACTGGAGTGAGAAAAAAAAGGATTATTCTCTATACATTCTAATGAAACGAAATACTGAAGATAAGGTGAGACCACAGTAACTAACATCTGGGAATCATAGTAAACTGAATCCACAGAAGAGTCCTGCTTCATGAATTTGGCATGTGTAATAGTGCCAACTACTTTATTGGAATTTACATATTACATATAAGGCATAACATAACTAGATTTAAGTCTGTGATTGTTTCAAACTACTCATGTGTCATACAGTATACTGATATTTTGCGATATCCAACAAGTAACTGGTATAATAGTACCGCTACCTCAACTTATAACACATGTTGTTCTTACAATATTGTGTTATCATTTCCAGGATACATAGCAATTTATTGGTGTAATGTAAATGTAAAGGTGACAGAATTCTTGAATATTTGTTTAATATTTAACCTAGTGCTCAACTGTATTCCTAGCTGGTGATATGAACATTATGATGCTATGGGATCCATGTCAAACCCAATTAAAATAATGTTTTATGGTAAAAATTTTACTATTTAACCCTGAAATTACAAACTTGTTCTTACACCTTCTATGACTAGAGGCCTAGTGTATTTTTTGATTCGCTACTCTTGCTGCAGAAGCCTATATTCATCATGTTCACGGGTTATCAGTACTGCATGGGAAAGTAAAGCATATAAATAAAAAAACACATATAGTGGTGGAATTTAAGCAATTTGTTTGATTTTCATGTATAATGTAGTATATAAACACCAAAATATTTTAGGTTATTAGTGGTGAATAAAGGACCTTCCTACATTCCTGAAGTTTTTTTTTTTTTAGGGTTAAGGACAGACTTCTTTTATCCAAAACAATTGCATGTTATCTATATTAATAAGTGTCATGGATGTGTACAATGTTATATTGGTTCAACAGTTAGAACCTTTGAAGCATGCATTAAACAAGATGCAACTATAGCAAAGGAAACAAAGTCCTCAGCTATAACATCTTTTTGTGTGGACAACATAAATATAATTCTGGATTGATTTGTAAAGCCAGGCATGATTTTTACTTACTTTTACAACTTTTGTCAGAAATCAGGTTGGATTTATGAACTCTGACATTGCTTGTAAAGTAGTTGATTTAATTCAGTTACAAGTGTAAGATTTCTTCTTACAGTTTTATCCCCCCCATCCACATTGAACCCAGGCTCTGTCACTATGATAACCAGACAATGATGAAAGAGCTCATGTGAATATAAGATGGCTGAGCTCACTGACTAGTGACTGGTGCAAGAAGCAAGCATGCTCAGAGGTCTAATCCAAGGTAGCTTTGTGTGGATTGTTCCATAGGAAGCTATGTGGATTTCACACTCATTAGTGCTTGGAACAAATGTGTTTTTGCGCTAAAGTGGTGAGTGCATTTGCCATGAATGACATAAGACACGGCTGTGCTACATCCATATATAAAAAAAGTCCTTTTTCTAGTAAAGATTGAGTCATGGCCTGAACTTCAGAACTATCATAGGTTGAGTTGACATGGACTTTACAAATCTGAGTTGTTAATGAAGCCATGTATCTTGTGGATTGCCTGACAATGCTTTGTAAGAGGACTGTGGTCTGCCCAACAGAATTCTGACCTGTTGTTAGGCCACTTGACTCGCAATCTGAGGGTCACAAGTTCGAATCCTCATCCCACCAAACATGCTCGCCCTTTCAGCTGTAGGGGGCATTATAATGTGACAGTCAATCCCACTATTCGTTGGTAAAAGAGTTAGCAGTGTGTGGTGATGACTAGCTGCCTTCCCTCTAGTCTTTCTCTGCTAAATTAGGGACAGCTAGCACTGATATCACTCGTGTAGCTTTCTGGGAAATTAAAAACAAACCAAACTAATCACATCCCATTACCCCCCACCCACACACAGAAAAAACAAAAAAAAACTACGCGCTCTGCACTTTTGACTGTGGGTGTATTATAAGAGTGACAGTCAAGCCACACTATTTGGTCTAAAAAGAAAACCCCAAGAGTTTGCGATAGGTGGTATTGACTAGTTGCATTCTCTCTAGTATATCACCTTAAAATTAGATAAAATAGTAGCCCAGGAATTGGCGGTGGGTGGTGATGACTAGGTGCTTTCCCTCTAGTCTTTCACTGCTAAATTAGGGATGGCTAGCACAGATAGCCCTTGTGTAGCTTTGTGCGAAATTCAAACAAACCGAACAGAATTCAGCCTACCATATCAAAAATATACATTGCGCATGTGAAATAACTTTGGAGGCAATGCATTGCTCAAACGTCTGATACATCAGCTTA